TATATCAATAAATGATAAAGCATAAAAGAATAATAGATCTCAGATGGCTGCAAAATTATACTACTGTCACTTTGTAAAATTTTATATAAACGCATAAATGCGTTTTTTTTATTCCTGCAATAGTGCACGAGTAAAAACATTTTTATAAAGCTGATTAAAGCGTGAAAATATGAGTCATAGAAAATACTGCAAATACATGTACTATTGCAAATTACAGTGGGTGTGCAGATTGCATTTAAAAGTAACCCTTTACCTTGCTATACAATGTCATTGAACTAATGTGCTCATCCTAGAAAGGGGTACATAATGAAAATCAGTTGTTTTTTGTAAGATATACAAAGTCTTAATTATATAATACTTCAAGCAGTGAATCCAGAGCTCCAAAAATGTCAGATAAACATAAATCGTTTAGGTTTTATTTTACAAGTTATAATAAATTAAAAATGTTCGAAAAATGTGCCCGCCTTTCGCTGTAAAGCATTCTATAGCATGTTTTAATGCGATCAGATGTTTATTGATTATATATACATATGCAAGTATATGCAAATGTGTTATAACTATATTATTTTATTTTATTTTATTAAGTAACATTTAAAAATATTTGTATTTATATAATTTTAATTTTAAAACAGATAAATTTACAAAATACAAATATTTTAAGATATAATTCGAAATAAAATAGTATTCTCAAATACATACATATAATTGTATGTTATAATTGTATATGTTATATAATATGTTATATAATATGTTATGTGTAATATGTTGATTATTTGCAAAAACCATAGGAAATGGACATGTTTGTACTACTCGAATTAATAATTGTAAAATATATTGCAAATAAAAACATACCGACGGACTCTTTGGTAAACCAACTCTTTGTCCACACGTTGTCAACAGATTTACCAAGCATTCTCTGACGCGGCCCTATTAAAAAAAAATAAATTTAATGTTATCTTAAATATATAATTCAACATCCGTATACCATGTTACACTAAATTTTTATATAAAAAAATTTAGTATACTTCGTAATTTTCTAATTAGATCTCTATTTTAATAACGTTATGATAAATTTTTATGTAAAATTTTTTATACCTGTGACATCCATGGTCTCTTCCAGCCGGCGATGGCACTATTATCAGCCGGTGATAGAGACAGTGAACAACGTGGAGAACTAATTGATTTTTCTTCAGCACCTTGACGTATCAACCAACGTCGACCAATAACTGGTGTTTGAGACAAATCAAACGTGAAATCCATTGTTCTTCCTATTTAAAAATAAAACAAAGTCAAAGATTACAAATATTAAAAAGAATGTTTAATAAGAATATCTACATTTCTACACAATAATAATAAAACGTATCACTTTAATTGCATTATTTTAAACATTCTACAAAAGTTTTCATATACATATTTATAAAATCCATGTAATTATAGAAGCACAAGCGATATATATTTAGAAAAGTATAATATAATATAAAATATATATTAGAAAAATAACAATATTATTTTAGGAGAAAAGATTATAATCTATTGCTATTGTTATTTTTATCGTAACCTGGATGTTGTGTAATAAATCATCCGTGCCATGCATGCATGTCGCGTTGTAAAGAGAGAAGAAATAAAATCGATAATACACATACAGAAAAAATAAATGTGCATTAATTAATTTAAGCGAAGATGTTGACTTACCCGGTAACTCTTTTTTGGTAAATATTTCCGTGTCGGTAAAACTAGGATGTGGTGATGCTAACGAAGAATCCCAAGATGAACCGTGCATTGAAGTAGGCGGCGCTACGAGTGTCGACGATCTTGTCACTACAAGCTTCAAAATTTTCAGCGCTTCTTTCCACTGAGTGCCCTAAAATATTATAATTTATTCGTTCAATGAGAAATATTATAGTTATTGCTATTCTTGATTATTGATATTTAATTATAAAATATACTGATTAAATATATTTTTTGGAATTTTACCTCGACGTATTTAGAAATCACTCTTAACAGTTCTGTATTGATTGGTTGCGCGGCTGGAGACGCCAAATCCACGTAATGTAGCATACAATGTATAATACTGAGTACCGGCAACGCCACGCTGCTTGGACCTTTTTCTAATACCTCTACAAGAAAAGCAAGCATGTTGAAACTAAGATGAGCGTACGAATCGTAGAGATATTTCACTACGCATTTCGTCCATTGGAAACTTTCTTTGCTGAAAGTACGTCGACTGTATAACGTCATGACTGTACCAAGGTTTTCTAATTTTTTTCCCTTTTCTGCGCTTACCTAAGAAATCAAGAAAATATAATAAATGAATGTAATGCAAATTGTAATATTGTTTATCTGATAACGTAATAAATAAAATAAATAAATAAAGATGATCTTACTTGCGCAATATTTTCGGCGCTTCTGATACAAAGTTCATTAGCGTCTTCATAATTCAGCAGCATGTAAGGCAGCAATGATACAACATTCATTGGGAATGCAAGGCTTTGTGTAGGGTCAACTACTGGCAGATCTAATAGAGGTGTAAATTGAGACAGCAGCGTAACAACTGGTTCGTACGTATTTGGACTGGTGCATCCTTTCAATAAAAGCGCGTGTACGCCGGGAAATGAAGTCCACCGCAATTGTTGCTGTAATTTCTCAACTTTATCTCTAGCGTCTGGTCGATCAAGCGGTAGCCTGTGTAGAACACGACTAAGGAGCCGCAGTGCCAAGAGAAATTCGTGTTCGTAATCTGATTCAAGTAGGGATACAGACAGCCAAAACAGTTGCGCCAGTATTGTCATCTTATCGTCCTGCGTGGCGGAATCACCTAGTAGCTTCAAAGACTGTGCCGATCTTGATCTAGAGAGATTCGAGTTAGGATACTTGTTGCCACCAGTTCTGTTTTCCAGTTCTGCAAACAAAATTTTTTGTTTAAAGAAAATTTGTGCATAAAAATTAAAACTAATTAAAATTAAAACTAATAAAATTTATACTTCAAGAGGAATCTGATAATGATTACTGTAAAAAGTATTAATTGTGATAACAACCTTTTATATCGCTAGCCGCAGAATTTCCACCGCTAGATCTTTTCATACAATAACTAACTGAATAACTGGTGCTTCTTGTATGTCCACCTTGATTCAAGTGAGAGAATATGTGCGGCCCAGTTGGATAACCATTTCCTCCTCCTGGACTACGTTTTCCCCCAATTACATTTCCCGACACTGGGTCCTTGTTGTTCAAGTTGGGCGTTGATTTAAAAATCTCTTTCATGAAATCAAGTGGTCTAAAGTCTGATTCGAGCGAATCGACAGCAGCTTCCAATGTTAGCAACAACTCTGTTACATACCCCTATACGAAAATAATAAAATATAATCATATGAAATATATAAAATGCTATTAATCAAAAAATATTGTATAAGAAAATTGTCGATACCTGCATGTCTTCGCCCTGCTCGGCAACTGTCTCCACCAATCTAGATAAGATATCAGACAGCATTCTGGATGTTATAGGAACGCGTAATGCTCGAAAAACTTGTAGAGATCTTCCTGCGTAGTGTCTGGATGAACAGGAAAGGCCTAACTGTAACGCCGTTTGGGCCCATCTTTGGCTGACTAATGCGTGAGGCAAGGAATCTCTGAATACACGTAACACGTGCCGCAATAATATTGTAAGTTGCTCGGCGCTACGCACCCACCATACCTTGGCAGTCATATCCTCATAATTCCACAATGGTTGGTTTGTTCTATTATAAAAAATATTAAATTAAAACTCTCATGTATTCTATGAAATATGTAATTAATATGCATACTTAGATGCGAGAAAATTGATCAGAGATTTGATGACATCTTGTATAGGCATATTGGGACCTGGCTGAGGACCGGTCCAATTATGCGTGTCTTCTGGCGTTACAATAACGGGTGGTACTGCATTTGTCGCCGTTCTACTTGAGGTCGGCCAACTGTTGCATACCGCTGATTCTGCAAAATCGTTTAATGTTTAATTTCTGTTAAATTTTTTTATATACAAGTTTATATAAAAATAAACTTATATAAGATAGCTTACCATATGCATGAGAATTCCCATAATCCTTACTATCATCCGTCGATTGATTTATATGATTCATCGACATCGGTGGCGTCGACGTTGAATTAGATAAAGACGAATGAGTAGGCGTACCATCTGCAATCGAGGAAGATGTAGGTAACGGTGGAGGAGGAGGTGGCGGCGGAGGTGGCGGAGGTGCTGGGGGAGAGGCTGAGGAATCGGGAGGCATAGGTGGTGGCGGCGGAGGTGGTGGAGGAGGTGGCGGAGGTGGCGGCGAAGAGGGTGGAGGTGGAGAAGATGAGGGTGGCGGTGTTGTAGGTGGTGGGACTGCGGGAGGACCGTACAGATAACTGTCAAACTCCGGATCCATCTCCGTAAAATTGTGTTCCAATACCGGCAAAGCCGGAGTGGACAGTCCTAATCCTAATTGCTCCGTCTTTGAAGCGAGTAACACACGTGCTACACCAAGATGATCACGGTGATCACCGAGCACGACCAACAGGTTCAGAAGTAGACAACGACAATGATCGCGCACCAATGGTCTTGAGTGATCCAGACCAAGAAAGACGATATGCAGCATCAGAGGGACGTGTATGGCCCAATCGAGTTGGATCCCATCAATGACTACGTCGGTGAGTAGCATTACAGCGATATTACATCTAAGAGTACAGCGACATTAAATTATTAACACGACATAGTCGTAGTGAATAAGTCTGATGAAGTGAATAGAACAATAATTCGTAATCACCTGTGAAATCCGCTTATCGGCTGAGAACTGTCGGGCAGATATTCAGTTAGAGGAGCGAAATACCCGCCGTATTCTGGCATCGGCAAAGGGTGTGGTTGAGGAATGTCAAATTTTTCATCGACGCATGGCATTTTTCCATTCACTCCAACGGGCACGTTACGAACGGCGTAACACGACTCGTCGGTAGTTAACTAAAAATAATGTTATAATTATAATAGTTTTCAAATGAGTTGTTAAGATGAATTATATGATTTCTCAAGCTTTCAAATAATTTTACTCGATCTTGTCATTGAGAAACAAAATCTTTCAATCATAAAAATTTACAAATTTTTTCTGACGATAAATCAAGCTTCAATAGAGTAACGTACCTCAGCTTCCGTCGTCGGAGTTGATAGATCGTCCGGAAGAACTGGTGGACCGCTCGCAGTCCTCGTCTTTTCTGCCCTTGGAGTTTGAAACCCCGCGAGAGCTCGGAGCGCGGTATCGGATTTCGAACTGCAAAAGAAATTAAAACGTCTTGAAATAAATTAAATGCTCGCAATATTAATTTAAAGCGATTTTAATTAATTTTTTAGATATTATTTTCTACTTTTTATATAAAATAAATTTGATTTGAGGAGATTTGATCATAAAATGTTAAAATTTCAACAAAATAATATATTTCAATAATCATCACTCACCCGGTTTTGACAGGATCTTCGCCGGAGTGTCTTTTTGTATGGATGGTACCCTTCTCGACGCCGAGATCACGGGGAGGATTGGCAGGATCGGCGGCAGGCGCATCGCTGTGCGAAGAGGCTTTCCTCATGCTGGTAAGCCGATAGAAGGGCGGCGTTTCCGTTCGCTCGATCAAACAATTCAGAGTCTCAACCGTTTCCAATTCTGTCATCATTTCATCAACGAGACGATCCGGACGAGCTCTTGCGAGATACAATACCACGCGTTTTGCCTAAAAATTCAATATTTTTTACATTTGTTGCAAATAAAAGCCTAAAGCAAAGCCAAAAAATTTCACTCACGTATGGGAGCAACTCCTGAGGTGCCATTCCCGAAACAATAATTAGATAGCGAATTATAACTTTGAGATTATTTGGCCAACACCCGCACAGAGTTGCCCAAAGCTCTTCCGTCTCTTTAGGATGTTCGTCTGAGAATTTCGCTGTGATGTAAAAAAGATTGTTGAGTACCATCTCCGTCGCTTCTGCGCTACCCCAGCCTTCTCTGCGCGTCCCTCCGCGTGTCACATCGCTCGTATAATACTATAAAAAATTAATTAAAAATATTACTCAAGAAATAAAGAAAAGGATATCTTTTATTGCTTGGAAAAAAATAAAAGTTAAAAAAAATATATATATAAAAATGGGAAAAGCATAAAACTTTATGATTATTCTAATGATATACCTCCCTTTTTATAATATGAAAAATATCATGTTTTGAGGAATAACTTTTAGAAAAAGTGAAAAGTATTCATGTAAAAGTATTCATGATAAAATTTTAATTGGCAAATATTACACTATAGAGTCTATCAGTTTTGTACAAACGATTAGAATTTCTAACTGCGTCATTGAGAAATATATTAGTTTGTTAACTTTGATGATCCTATTCACGTTTGTTTGCAAACGAAAGTAACAAGATAACGATCATTCATTACATTAAAATATCATTAATACTGCTGACAATAGTAAAAGTACTAAAAGAAAAATACAGATATTGGAAATCGATTATAGTAGTGTTTGCATACCAAGCACAAAGGCTCTCGATATAACCACTTGAATTACAATTCTCTCTCCTCGGGCATCCATCCACCGAGGTGATCAGAATTATTATTACCACTATTGATAATTGAGCAGCATCGTCATATATTGATAGAAGACGGATGTAATAGAACTCCCTTTTTTCATTAGATAAATTTTATTCTTGAAGGTCTGACACACTATTCTCACGGTCATTCGATCGTTTCAATTATAATCAAATTAATCAAGAAAGCCATTATAATCACTGACAATCGTGAGATAAGTAGAATTATCAGAAAGAAAT